CGGGGGGAACTGGCATAGGGGGAGAACATCGACGTGGAATCGGCGATACATCGCTGGTAGATCAGCGAGAGGCCCCCGATAATGAATCCGCAGGTTCCTTGGCAGGTTGGGGCTATCGTGCCCCTATCTGCCATCGGAGATTCGGGGTCGATGCATCCCCCGATGTCCATCCCCCCATATCGTTGCCTCTGACAGGAGGAGGAGGAGGAGGAGGAGGAGGAGGACGAGGAGGAGGAGGAGGAGGAGGAGGAGGAGGAGGAAGAGGAGGAGGACGAGGAGGACGGAGGAGGAGAAGGAGGAGGAGGAGGACGAGGAGGAGGAGGAGGACGAGGAGGAGGAGGAGGAGGAGGACGACGACGAGGAGGAGGGGAAGGAAGATCGAGCATCGAGGGGAAGCCCGCCGGCCGGAGCAGCGTCGGCGCACGGCAGCAGCTCCAGCTCCAACTCCAGCGGGGCCCCGCAGCAGGGACCGCCCGCGAGGCGCTCGGCCGCCGTCGCGGCCCCGCTGGTGCCCAGCGCCAGGGCGACGGGCACGCTGGCGGAGCCGAGCAGCTGCAGGGGGGCGCCCGCCCGCTCCTGGGGAAGCGCCAACAAGTGCCGATACCGCTGCTCCCTGGACCTCTCCCGGGGCGCGTGCGTTCTGACCAGAACTTCAAGGCGAACCCAGCCGTGGCGACGAGGGCCTCCCAGGAGGCCCGAGAGGGCGAGCATGAGGCAGGGGTCGCGGTATGGGTGCACATACTCTTTCCCCCTTCCCGAGGTCCGAGCCGAAGAGCTCCAGCACCACGTCACTGCGGAGGTCGTGCGCCGTCACGGGAAACTGCCACGCCTCCGCGCTCCACGCTGTGCCCTGGCCTACCGCGCCGTCGCTGCCGGGCGGCCCGGGGTCGGCGACGTCGCTGGCGCGGCGCTGCGCCGCCCGGGCGCGCTCCGTCCTGCCCGCCGCGGTGCAGGCGAAGTGCACCTCCAGCGCCGCGGGCGCCCGCGCCCTCAGCACTCGCACCCTCAGGGAGGCGACTGCGGGCTCCTCATCATGGCTCTGGTCTTGCAAGCGGGCGACCGCGACAATGATTTGGCTTTCTGCGGAAGGATCACCTCAAAACGGCAAGCGGAAAACGCAATGAATTTCAAGAGTGTTTGTTTCAAACCCCACTTCCCGACTCAACGCGCATCCGTCCGAAATTCACAACGGCATCCGGAACGAAATTCACCAGACAATCTGGGACTCTTCCTTCATTGTCCGATCGATCTCCGCCCTACGAAGTTGGCACCATGACTCCTCCTCGCCCCTGGGGAGCAGCGCCTTGGCGGCCAGGCCGGGCTCCTCGCAGTCGGTCGACGCCTCGCTCGCGCCGCTCGCCCCGCCGACGAGCAGGCCATCCGCGGGGGCGCGCTCCTGCTCCACGGGGGTCAGGGGAACGTCGGCAAACACCTCCAGCGCGGCGGCGCCGCACACCGACGACGACGACGACCTTCGACGACAGCAAAGACGTCGACGTCGACGACGACGACGACGACGACGACGACGACGACGACGACGACGACGACGGCGACGACGGCGACGGCGACGACGACGGCGGCGGCGGCGGCGGCGACGACGACGACGACGGCGGCGGCGGCGGCGGCGGGGGCAGCGGCGGCGGCGGCGGCAGCGACGGCCTCGCCCGCGACGGGCTCGTCAGCATCGCCCAGGTCGCCCAGCCCCTCCCAGGTCTCTTCCTCCAAGGGGCCCAGCGGCTCGTCGGCGAACACCTCCTCCTCGTCGGGTGCTGCCAGAAGTGCCCCTGGCCCAAACGGTGCCCCCAGGATCTCCAGGGAGGCCCCCGCGGCCTGCCACTGCGGAGCACCCCTCAGGAGGCCCGATGGGCCCGATGGGGCCCCAGAATGGAGCGAAAAGCTGGGCGCACCTCGGGCCACGGGGGCACCTTTCGCAAGCCCCAGGCCTCCGCCGGCGCCATGCCCCCTCGGGGGGACATCCGGCACGCCAGCCTGGACGCCAGCTGCGCGGCGGGGGCCCTGCGCAGGCGCAGGTCCAGGCTGTAGCGCGGCACGCGCTGCGGGTCCGGCGGCAGGGAGAACTCGGTGCTCAGGTGCATGAGGCTGCCCTTGATCTTCTTCTCCGCCGTCGCAGGATCGCGGAACACTATGTTGTCCCGCTTCCGCCACCGCAGCCCCACGCGCAGCGTGCAGCCCCCGGCCTCCTCGCGGGGCACGTCGACGACGTACTCGACCAGCGCCCCGCCCTGCTCCCCGCGCGTCTCGATGGTGCACAGCGCCCCCGTGCGCTGCCTGACCATCAGCAGCACTTCGATGAGGATGTCCGCCACCGCGCCTGCAGCGGTTGGTGTGCGTCGGGCCCTTTCGCTTTCTGCGAAGCAGTGAGGAGGGCCCCCCGACGCATCGAGGCCAACATGTGTTCGTTGTTGTGGCCAAGTCCTTGCGTTGGTGGTAAGAAGAGATGGCCACGAAAACATAGCCTGGGGAAGGAGGATTCCGTGGCCCTTCCCCCCACCCCCTCCAACCCAAGGCGCCCCACCTCCCACCCCCCGCGCCCGCCCGAGGGTGGCGGAATCGCACGGCAGCGCGAATGGATAGTTGATCGACACGGACTTGCTGAGCCAGAAGGCCGCCCCAGCGAGCTCGGGCCGACCAGCCAGTTCCGGCCGGAGCTGCACCAACCTCTCGCAGAAACGGGCGCAGAAACTCGCCAGCTGCCTCTCCGCGCACGTGTCCGTCTCCCACGTGACCAGCTCGCCGTTGACCCGGAGCTGGCCGACCTTCGTTGGCAACTCATAGGGGCCACCCATGCCATCTCGCTGGCTCTTGCAAAGGGACGCTGGCCGACGCTAATAGACGCTAATAGACGCTAATCGAAGCCAGTCGACGCTGAATCGACGCTAATTCAACGCTAAGCTGGCGCCTTCTCATCGACTGCTAGACACTAGCGCACGCTAGTGCACTCGAAAGATGGCATTACGAGGACACGCGAGTCTGGGCGACCAAGCGACGACCGGGTCGCCCGCGGCAGCAATGGGCGACATCTGTGTTCAAGAGGACTCGATGACTTCATATGTGTCAAGAGTTTATTTCGTTACGCAAACGGCGCGCAGGCCCCGCTTGCGTGTCTTCCGTTTCCGCCCACGCGTCCCTCTGGATGCTGGGCCACGCCCGCTTGCGTGCGAGGCCCCCGTGATTTGCCGCCGAGCCCACCCGCAGGATGTCGCCGTACCTCTGCAGCAGCTCGCGCGCCAGGTGCGGCGGCAGCGTGCTCTCCGCCGGCGAGACCGGCCCCATGGCCCGCCGCCCTCGGCCGCCTGGAGGAGGCCGCCCCGCAGCCCCAGAGGCTGCCCCTCGGCCAAAATGGCTTGACAAAAAACCGGCTGCGGAGGACCACAGAGGCCGCCAGGAGAGCCCCAGGACGGCCCTGGAGGGCCGTCTTCGAGCTCTCCTCCCTGGAGGCGGGAAGGATCTCAGGGGAAGTCGTGCCGGATCTCTGGGGATCTCTTGGGGGCTACTGGGGAAGCATCGGGGGCCTGCTGGGAGCTTTCTCCGGGGGATGTTGAGCACCTTGGGGGCTGTCTCGAGGGGAAGTGCTCCAGGAAAACCCCGGTCTCTTGGGCCGTCTCGGGGGCCTCTTCGGCCGTCCTGCGGCAGTCTTGGGCCGTCTTGGGCACCTCTTGGGGTCCTCTTGGACTGTCTTGTGGCTCTTGGGGGCCTCTTGAGCCGTCTTGGGCGGTCGGAAGTGGGAAAAAGGAGCACGCTAGAATATACCAGGAACAATGGAAAATCTATGATCTGCACCTCCTGGGGCCCCCTTGGGGCTCGTCTTGAGCCCCTCGTGGAACATCGAGAGGAAGGGGTTCTTGGGCCGCCTCGGCATAATCCTGGGCCGTCCCTCCTGGGGGGGCCCTTCCCTTGGGCATCTGCGGCGTCCCCGTGCAGAGCCGAGGCCGAGAGTCCGGGAAAGGCCCAGGCGCGGCAGGGACAACCATACGCACCTGATTCCAACGGCCCCTGGCGTGCTGCGGCCCGGGGGAGGGGGCCCAGAACCGGGGTTTGACCTGTCAGTGACAAACAAGTTGTGCGATTTGTTGAAATGCGAGCAGGCGTATGCCCCGCGCGCTGCTTTCCCGTGGAGAACTCGCACATCGGATATACAAGAACTAACCAAGCGCGCAGCCCATTCACAGCGGAAAGTGCCTGGGGCTGGATTGGGGTGCGCGCCGAGCGGAACTGTTCACATGTATGGGCCGCACAAAGACAAACTTGTACTATATGCCCCCCTTGGAGGGGCACGTCCGACCCGAACACATAGTACACCCATCTTGTAGCACATCGTTTCCCGAGCAGTGTGGCCAGAAAGCGCCCGCCACAACGCGTTTACTGTAAGATTTATCGGTGCGCGCGTCGCCCCTGGGGGGGGGGCGACGCACACATAGTATTGGTATGTTGGGGTGACGCCGAGTATAGGAGGGTCCTCGAGTTATGCGACAAGCTGAACGATACACGTCCACGAATCAGCGCTCTACCATGACTGCGGTGCGCGATCATACCCAATCGCCCACCGAATCATAAGATTGAACACCCCTTCGTAGCCAGTCGTATCAGAAGAACCCTCCTGCATCCCAGAGGCCATGACTGGAATGAGCGGGCGCGCGTGCATGCGTCAAGTGCCGTGGTCAGTCCAGGGGCAGGGCCGTGCGAACAGACAAGCACCAACTTCAGCAATGAGAGCTGGATAACAACCGCTTGCGGTCGCTCGGACGTCCATTTCCCGTGCATTTGTCGGTTTCGTGCGTGCTTTTTGCTGCTCGATGGTCCAGGATGCTCCTCCAGGGTCCTCGCCGAGGAAAAAATGTCCACGTCCGAGCGATGCCAAGACCACCCGCAAACCCGCAGCCCATGACTCTGGCAGACGTGCGCGCCGCGACGTCCCCGGGCTGCCCGACCTCGCGCATCGCGCACTGCGCGGGGCGCGGTGCACGAGCCCCTTCGCGCCCCCCGCGCCCCCGCGCCGCCCCCCCTCGGAGGAGGGCAGCCGCCCCGGCCCAGGCTGCGACGATCTCAGCGCCACCGCGGGCGGCCCTTGGGAATCTCTGACGGCCCTGCACAGAAGGGCCAACGGCTTGAAGTAAGCATGGTGGAGGACGAGAGCGTACATGACCGGCCCGTAGAATCAGGATGCGCGATGAGGGCGCAAGGGCCCTGGACGCCCGTTTCGAAGCTTTTCGAGCGGGGCGCTGCCAACAAAAGTGGCCAAGGATGGACCGAGGAGGAAAGGATACAAGGGTACCCTTGGGAAGGTCGCCCGTCCTTACAATGCGGGTTGACTTTAGCCCACACGCGCAGGCTGAGCAGGAAGGATTGCCAGACTACTTGCACTTGCTTCACTGTCGCACTCCTGCTCCAGAGACTCATGCTTGGCATTCCTCCGATACTGACCCCCCACTCGCCGCCCCCGCCCTGAGGGCCAACGTGAGGGGGGACGGGCTCGGGATGAAAATCGACCGTGAATCGGCGATACATCGCCGATGGATCGCGAGAGGCCCCCGATAGCGGAACCGCACGGTCCCAGGCGGGGGGGGTATCGAGCCCCTCTCGGCGATCAATGAGCGAGTGTGAGTCGATGCGTTCCCCCGTGAGCACCCTCCGTCAATAATCCTCGTCGTCTGGTTTTTGGGCCATGACTCAGACCTCCGGCGGCCGCTCGGGACGATCGGGGCACCCCGGAAAGCTCCCGACGAAGCGCAGCTGATGGAGACCCCACCAGTCCCCGAAAACTCTGGAAGCAGTACGGGAAACGATCGAAAACCCCTGAGCCAGTCCAGCCCTGTGCCTATACCCCCATGAGCCCATCCCACCCCATCGTTGCCCGTGACCCAACCACACAACAACAAAAGGTGCGGCCTTGGGCGGGCGGCGGACGGGCGCGTGCAGGTGGCCGACCCGCGTGGCCACGTGGCGGTGCAGCGCCGCGTGCGCTGCCGCGTGTATCGCTGCAGTACCGTGCGAAGCACTCGGCCTGGAGACGTCCAGGAGGCCTCCCAACGGCGCACCACCCCCACCAGGCTGCAGAGACGGAACGAAGAACAGCGGCATCACCACCACCAGGGCGAGGAGCCTGGAGCGGTCTTCCGGGGGGTGCGTGCGGTCCCCCCTCTCCGCTCGATGCGTCCGCCGTCCCCAGCTCGGGGCGGCATCGGGGACTCCCCTCGCGGGAGGTGGCCCCCCCTGGTGGTGGTGGGGGTGCCGCTTCTCTCTCCTCCGACACAGAAGGCCTTCCCGATCAGCAAATGAAATGGGTGCGCCTGGGCAAATCATAAACGCTCTTCGGGCGCCAACCCGCAATGGTATACAAGCCGTCTGGGCATTACGGAGACGCCGACAAGATGCTTACCACAACTCATCTCATGTCACTCTCGATGGGGAGTGCGACGCCAATTCTGCTTCACGCATTTGGAACCACCGCCATCGCAATCTGTGCACTCGTCTTTCCCCTGGGCTACAATCGGCGATCCGTTGCCTGTCACTGACCACCACCACCACCACCACCACCACCACCACCACCACCACCGCAAGTTCTGGCCCCGGCTCCACGTACGGGTGACCTCTGCCGAGGGTGACCTCTGCCGAGGGTGACCTCTGGAGCGCTGCTGCTTGGGGAGGGGAGCCGCTAAGGCTTCCGGCTGCGCACAGGCCCCCCACCCCCCAGGCAGCCCCGGCCGGCCTCAATGATTAGCCCCCCGCAGTGCCGGGTGGCCTCCGCGCGGAGCGCCCAGGGGCGCCGCCAGAGGCGGCGCCAGGGTGTTGAGACCGCCTACTCTTAGGTCGGGCGTGTCCCCCTACAGGCGGATTTTGGACGAAACACCTAAAAAATAGTCCAACAAATATCCACAACAATTCAAACATACCACAGGCCCGACTTAAGCCTACTCGGGGCCCACGCCCCCGACGTCATGATTTGTCAGAACGTCGACCCCAAGAGGTCTGGATTCGTTCCCTGGGACCTGTTTTCCATCCCGAATCGCTTTCAGGCTGTCCCGAGGCCCAGCCATGACTTCTCCACTGCCAGAGGGGGTCTGGGTGGCATGCTGAGGCCAGCCGGGACCACTTGGCAGGAGGGCCCGGAATCGAATCGATAAGTCGGATAGGCGATCGAAATGAATCGGATCGGCGGACATCAGCAGCCGAGTCGGGAGAAGTCGAATCTGCAGAAATCGGCAGGCTGGTAGGCCTCTATTGGGAAATCGGAGCCCGAACCGGAACCCGAAATCGAATCGAACCAGAACCGGAAGCCATCGAAATCGAATCCGATCGGAAGAGTCTAAGTGAGCCCTGCTAGGGGGGGCCTGTTGAGGCTGGTCAGGACTGCCCGAAGGGGGGGGGCTGCCGGTGTGCAGCCCGCAGGCCTTACCAACGGGCCGCCCCCAGCACCAGCAGCCCCTCTGGGCGCCATCGGGATCGACCTGGAGGGGCGCCCCCCGGCGCCCCACTTTTCTGTGGCAACTCACGGGGGCCTCCCATACGGTTGTGGATGCCATGCCACAATGGACACTCGATCAATCCTGTTGTCCGCTGGCCCCCTTGCGGGGCCACCAGGCTGCGAGGAGGTGGATTGCAGCTCCGTTCCAGTTGCAGTTTCCAGTTCCCACTGTTACAGTCATGCTTTCTGCTTCCTTACTGATAATTGTTGCTGTCCGCGCGAGGGGTGGGAGCCCCAAACAGGTTTTTGTTACCACGCCCTGTGAGGGTTCTCAGAATTCGGTGGGGGGGCCTGGAACATGTAAAAAACATTACGTTCGTATCCCCGAGGCCATAATGCCTAGTGAATTACACTATATTCGCGTCTCCGAGGCCATAAGCATTTGAAAATTACACCTTATCTGCGTCCCCGAAGCCATAATCCCCCACACCCCTGCAAATTAATAAATAGTCGCGTCCCCAAACCATAAACCCTTGCAAATTACATCATATTCGCGTCCCCGAGGCCACAAACCCTCGTACATTACATGTATTTTCGCCCACGAGCCCACACAATATGTTAATTACAATTTGCCTCACCGAGGCCACAAAACCTTGCAACTTACGCAATATTCGCCACCCCGAAGCCATCAACCCTTGAAAATTATATAATAATCGCGCCACCAAAGCAACAAACCCTCGTAAGCTAATATTTGCCCTCGCGTGAAGTCCCGACATTGCTTCACGTCAGCGCCCAGGCATCCCAACACAGCTCTGGCAAGTCCCATTCTAAGAGAGGGGGGCCGGCGGCATGGGGGCGAAGGCCTTACGGA